ACTCTCCATCACTCCTTGGTTGCCATGACTCTGCCTCCTCTCTCTGTGCACCTTGTCCTGGAAGTGTAGCCTGCTTTCTGCTCTCCCTCCTCCTCCCATGTGCTTATTCTTTATGGCTCCGTTTAAATAATTTTTCACTAAGAAGTCATCCTGGCTTAGTAGAGTTCATTCCCATCCAAGACAATTTTCATTTGCTCTTGTAAAATACCTTTAATACTTATCACAATATGTTATAATTCTTTTCTTTACTATAACAAGTTCCAGAACAACAAAGACTATATCTTCTAATTTTGTACTAGGAAAATCTCCAAACTATTGGGTAGTAAGGATGTCAGTATAAGTTGTAAGGTGCATCTGATTCAGGCCATAGTCTTTCCAATTACTTGCTATGCATCTGAAAACTGGACAATGAATAAGGATGACAGAAAAAAGAATTGACACCTTTGAGCTGTGGTGTTGAAGAAAAGCACTGATTATCCCATGGATGGCCAAGAGAACCAACCAGTATGTCTTGGAGACATCACAGCCAGAGGTCCTTTTGGAGACAAAAATGATGAGGCTTCCCCTCACATATTTTGGACATGTTGCTAGAAGGGACTATTCCCTGGAGAAAGACATGATAATGGGGAGGGTGAAGGAAGGGTGGACGAAGGAGAGGAAGACCTTCAATCAGGTGGATTGACACAGTGACTGCTGCAATGGGCTTTTCTGTGTCAGGGAGTGTAAGGATGGTGCAGGATAGAACAGGGTTCAGATCCTTTGGTCATAGGGTCATTATGAGTCGTACGTGACTTGATGGTACCAAACAACAACAACAACACAGTATTAACTAGTGGGATCTAGTAGTTTAAAGATTTGCTCTATGAACACAAAGATACATGGGTCAAATCCACCAGATGCTCCTTCGTAGAAAGATGAGCAATCTCTTCTCATGAGACTTATTACCTCTAAAAACCTGCTGAAGGGTTGTCTATGGGTCAGCTTCTACTTGATGGTACACAACAACAATATCATATGATAGATTTAGAAATCCTATAGTATAGTGCTTTATGTTTTGGACTGCTAAATTGAAGGGCAACAATTGAAATCTTGCAACCATTCTGCAAGGCGAGGAGAAGATGAACTAGTCTGTTCTCATTTACATTTAGACCTTTAGAAATCTGAAGGAGGGTTTCCACAAGTCAAATCAACTTGAAAGCGGAGAGTTTGACATACTGTATACTGTATTATAGCCGGTAAAATTAGAGTGCTCCTTAGAAATAAAGATGGTGATTCTTCATTGCACATACTTTGTTAATGTTACTCGAAAAGGTCAGTCCCTGGATAGGGACATGAGTCTTTAAAAAAGGGTAGGTAAAGGAGGGGATAATGTCCATGGAATGAATTGACACAATGAATGTAACAATGAAAATGGAACAGGGAAAGGCAGAGTTTTATTATGTTGTGCTGAGTTGCTATGAGTCAAGCCCAACTCAATGCCATCTAACTTAATAACAAAAAATAATTTTATTTATGTATTTAAATATATAAATGGTATAATATGTATCTTACATTCGTTATGCTATGTTATTATTTTTTCTTTCATTTTTTTATTGAGATTTTAATGATTGTTTAAAGAGAACCTAAATTTCCATTCATTCACTGTTGCACATTTTCCTCCCTGCCTACCCTTTTCCCTCAGTTCACTTTTCTCTTTGAAAAGAAAAAAAAATTCTTTCATTGTTATAATCCCTCCCCCGCCCCCAGTCCACTTTACTATGCAGCTTTTATTCTGGACTTTTGTCATATAAGTAATACCTAATCATATATCCCTTTTAAACAGTCCTTTCCCTCATTTGTTTCAATGCAGAGTTCATTGTTTATCCCCTCTTTTCTTAGTTTTCCCCCAACCCAATGTCAGTCCTGTGTTATAACAGTGGTATTATGCAGTATTTGTCATTTTATATCTGAGATATTTCCGTCACCATAATGTCCTCCAGGGTCACCCATTTTGTATAATATTTAATGATTTCCTTGTTTTTCAGTGTTGTATAGAATTCCATTGTATGAATATACCACATCTTCTCTATCCATCCATTTGTTGATGGACTTGGATTGTTTCCAACTCTTTGCTATTGTGAATAAAGCAGCAGTAAACATGAGTGTGAATATATTTGCTTGGGTGGTGGTTCTGGTTTCTTTAGGGTGTATTCCCAATAGTGGAATTGCTGAGTCAAATGGTATTTCTATTTGCAACGTTTTGAGAATGGGCCACACTGCCTTCCATAGTGGTTGCACCACTTTACCAACAGAGAGTAAGGGTTCCAGTTTCTCCACAGCCTTGCAAGCATTTGTTGTTTGCTGCTCTGTTGAATTTTGCTATTGTTAGTGGGTTGAGACGATATCTCATAGTTATTTTGATTTGCATCTCTCTCAGAGCTAGGGATTTTAATCACTGCTTCATGTGTTCACCATCTGAAATATTTTCTTTGGTGAAGTGTCTGTTCATATCCTGTGGCTATTTTGCAATTGTGGTGTTTACCTTTATCTTGTTGTGGTGCTAGAGTATTCTATAAATTCTAGATATAAGTCCCTTATCAGACATGTCATTACCAAATAATTTTTTTTTCTCCAGTCTGTGGTTTCCCTTTTTATACTGTTGAAAAACATTTTGGATGTGCATAGGAATTTGATTCTTAGAAGGTCCCATTCATCTATTTAATCCTCTCCGAGTTATAGGTTTTTTCAGGGTGCTAGGAAGATTTTGAACCATGAAGTGTTTCCTTGCTCTGTTCTGAGGACTGTTTCCTGGTCCAAGTATAGGTTTCACATAAGCACAATCAAGTGTTTTGGAATTCCCATTTTCTGGAACGTTAGCCACAGTTTGTTGTGATGTACACAGTTCAATGACTTTGTATAGTCAATGAAACACAAATAGACATTCTTCTGGTATTCTTTGCTTTCTGCCAAGATCCATTTGGCATTAGCGATAATGTCTCTAATGCCGCAAACTCTTATAAACAGAGCTTGTGTTTCTGGTAGTTCTCTGTCAATGTACTGTTCCAGTCGTTTCTGGATAATCTTCACCAGGATTTTGCTAGTGTATGATATTAGTGATATTATTTGATAATTTCTACACTCTGACAGGTCATCTTTCTTTTAGAATGGGAATAAATATGGATCTCTTCTAGTCAACTGGCCGCATAGTTGTCCTTGTATTTCTTCCAGTCAGTTGGCCAGATAGGTGTCCTCCGGATTTCTTGGCACAACCTGGTGAGCACGTTCAGGCCGCATCTGTTTGTTGAAACATGTCAATTTGTATCCCATCAATTCCTGGGGCTTCATTTTTTGTCAAGACCTTCACAGCAGCCTGAACTTCCTCCTTCATCACTATTATCTTATTTTTTAAAATATTTTTTAAAATTTTTTTATTTGTGTGTGTGTGTATACTGTCAAATTGGATATGACTGGTACAGGAGGAGATTGCCCCTCCTTCTCCAGCAGAACATCTGGTGGATTCCAATTGTGTACCTCTGGGGATTGCAGTGCAGCTTCTTGCCATTAGGCCACCAGAGCTCCCTTCACTATTACCTCTTGATCATCTGTTTTTTCTTGAAATTCTTCTGTGTCAGCCAATTCTTTTTGGTATAGTGACTCTGTACTTCTTCCATTTTCTTTTGATACTTCCAAGGTCATTCAGTATTCTGCCCTTAATTTTTTTTTTTAAATTTTTTGTTTGTTTGTTTTATTTTTTTTTTTCCCTCAAAATTTTTAAGTGTTGCAAATCAAGGTTCGGATTTGATCCGTAGTTTCTTCTGCTTAAGAAATGCCAAAAGAGTTTTTCCTTTTTGAGTATCTGATTCCAACTCCTTGCCCATTTCATTGTAATACTTTGGTTTGTCTTCCTGTGTTGCCCTTTGAAATCTTCTGTTCAGCTCCTTCTTTATCCCACCCCCCACCCCCACCCTCCACCTTTGCTTTGGCTTTTTGGCTCTCTAATACAATAGTAAGAGTCTCTTCTGACATTCGTCTTGGTGTTTTTTTCTTCCTTGTCTTTGTAATGACTTTTTGCATTCTTTAGGGATGGTATCACTGATATCCTCCCACAGCTTATTTGGTTTTCGTTCATTAGTATTCAAGGCCTCAAGTCTATTCCTGAATTGGTTTTTAAATTCAGGGGAGATAGACTCAAGATCAAATTTTTACTCCTGTGGATATGAGTTGACCTTCTTTAGCTTTAATTTGGCTTGCATATATGAATTTTCAAACTATCTTGATGCCATTATTATGCATTATTCCCAGACTTTCTCTATGATCGTTAAGGCTAGTAAAGTTATCTGTGTGTGTTATGCTTCCTATTAGGTAACCCTATATTCCAAGAGTCTACTCATACTGCATTTTTTAATTATGGCCTAGTTTTCACTGCTGATACTGAACTTCTCCAACAATTTCTACCACAGATGTAATTGATCTGATTCCTGTGCATATCATCAGGTGAAATCCATGTGTATAGCCTGTGTATATGTTTCTTATAAAAAAGTATTTGCAGTGATTGTGAAGAATTCTATTGTTCCGTGCCAGCCTCATTTCTGCCACCAAGTCCATGTTTTCTGAGTACTCACCCTTCTTCCTGGTTCCCAACATTCCCATTAAAAAATGCAATGTGAGTGGACTCTTGGAATGTAGGAAGTATAACACACACAGATAACTCTACTCACCTTACTGATCATACAGAAAGTGTGGGAATAATCATTATTATTCTATTATGCATCAGGATAGTTTGAAATTCACAGGTAGTGGAAGATTTAATGAACAAAATAGTAGAAACTGTTACAGAAGTTCAATAGCATTTGTCAAATTAGCTCTCCAATGCCTGATAAAGTTGACTCTGAATTCCTTGTTTCACAAAGATACAATTCCACCACTGCTCTGTAGACCTAAGTCACCACAATTTTAATTCTACTCCAACTTTGCAAATAGGGTCATTGCTGAAATTGACTCTCATCTTTTCTTTTTTTCAGGCCCTGCTGCAAAAAAGAAGTATGTCAGTTATAATAACCTGGTTATCTAATCTGTTCCATTCCATGGAACCACGAAGGAAGAAGGTCTTCAGCTATTTCATCACCCCCAGGCATAGGACTCTTGGTTCTGCCGGTTTTCCTGAGGAACTTCTTTATTTGGACAGATTCTGGAGGCCAGTGTTAGAGGATCCAAGTGTGCTACACAGCTGCTTTATGAAATACCCTTACTTTATCTTGGCTTAATAAGTCACTGGCATCAGCACTGCCAAATTGGCTGCAATTTTGAACCTTCCCTAAAGGGGGTGTTGAGACTCAAGTCCCAACTAAGCTTTTTGGGATAACTCACTGGAAAGCCTCAGCAACCATTTTGGGGCTGACCTGTCTTTCTACGTATGTACTTCCAGGTTGCAAGGTTTTGAAATATTCTGTACAGTTTGTGAGAACTTTTGCATTTTGCCATCTGATGTCGAATCTTGGTTCTGTTTGTGTTGAATGCCCTGTTTCCATAAAGCCCTATTCTTTCAGATGGTGGAACATTCAGGAAAAGTTTTTAAAAAATGAATACACATTTAAAAAACAAAATTATCTTGGCAGACTGAAAAAAATACATATACACACATCTGTACATGACTGTATGATTATGATTATAGTATACCACTGCAAATCATGTTATATTTTTTAAGACAAAAAAAGATATTTAAAGACCAAAAACTGTGCTGAGAAAGTTTACCCCATCTATCTTTGGTAGAAAGATAATAGGCTACAAGGAAAGGAATATATTGGCTGCAATGAATTGAGGTCTTGATCTTTGGAATGCATGCCTGTAATGTATTTTACAGTACACGTTGATAATTTATGTTCAGTATTTGTATTTGTGTTCTCTTGTTATTTTAATTAGGGTATATGAATATTTTGCAATAATTTTCATAACTAAGCTATTTGAAGAAAAGAATATGGATTTTCATGTCTTGAGGTTTTGTTCATGCCCCATGACTGACCAATGTGATAAGGACTTTAAGGAAAAGCATGTATGTTTTCTACTGTTTGTAATAAGTACTTTCGTTAATCTTGCTGCTTATGTGCCAAGTTAGTGGGAAAAAAATACTTGCTGAAAAATTTCCCCTTTCCATTCTCTTTCAATTCTGTGATTTTGTCCAAGAATATCTCAATAAAACACTTTGGTTAACTTTTTTATTTTCTTCAATAAATATTTTCAGTTAATTTTCCTTTTCATTTACAATGTATTTCTCAAAAAAAAAAATCTTTGTCTTGCCCCCCCAAAAAAAAATCATTTACAGTGAATTTCATAAAGCCTTTAGTTAGGTAACAATGTGGATAATTAATGTTTTGAAGTATATACTACAACTTTCAGCTGTAGCAATAGAGGCCCCTGAAGAGTGGAAATATTTCCAAATTTGATTCCTGAGAGACCGAGAGTACAGGTTCACCCAGAAGAGCCTGGAAGAAATGCTGGGTGATTTATTCTTAAAATAAGAGCCTCTGGAAAATTCTATGGAGCATGAAATTCTATGGAATGAAATGCTTCCTGTTCCTGAAATATTCTGTGATCCACTGTGAGTCAGCTTAATCAGAACATTGTGATTTCAGGGTTTTCATCGGCTGAGTTTTGGAAGGGACTCACCAGAAATCCTCCTAGTCCATCTCAATCTAAAAGCTATACTAACCCTACTCAGCATCTCAACAACAAACAGTCCTCCAGTAATCGATGTGTAGTAATTGTATATGAATGGAATCTGAGCAACCCCTCTCCAGTGAAAGAAGTCTTCCTTTGTACCACCAATATCTACACAGTGAGTCCATTTCCTTACTTTGTTTTCCTTTATAACTTTATGACAGCTCCCTGGTCCAAGTATGTTATTGTTGTTATGTGCCTTCGAGTGGAATCATAGGTGACTCATAGCGACCTTGTGAAGTCCTCAACACTTGCATGACTTTGCCCCTTTCTCCAAGTTCATAGGGTGTCCGGAGGCAAGCTATTTACGGAAGTGGATGCCATTCCTGCTTCCAAGCTTGTTTTAATCGGGGAGCTCCACCAAACATTATCCACCATGGGTAAACATTTTCGCTTTTAACACATCAGTGTCACAGTGTTCAGCTTCACAGCAACCACAAGTTACCTCTGTACGGCAAGTGGACACGCCAGGACTACGCTACCTAGAAGAATGTTTGACCAAAAACAATTAAGAACAGGCCTGAGGGCCGCGGATTAGAGCACCCACTTTTGGCTTGGTAACATCACTTGTGCTCCACTGGGCCAAATGGTCTCTATGTTGTGAAGTGCCATCAAGTTGTAGGCGACTCATAGCAACCCTGTAAACAAAAGTCCTCGACACTTGCGTGAGGTCCAAGTATAGGTTTCACATAAGCACAATCAAATGTTATGAGGTTCTCATTCTTCTCAGAGTTAGCCACAGTTTGTTGTGATCCACACAATCAAATCCGTCTGCATAGTCAATGAAACACAGATAGATATTCCTCTGGTATTCTCTGCTTTCAGCCAAGAGTCATCTAACATTAGCTGTACCATTCCCTCTTCTAAACCCAGTCTGCACATCTGGCAATTCTCTGTTGATGTATTGTCCCAGTTATTTTTGGATCTTCATCTTCAGAATTTTGCTTGCTTGTGATATTAATGATATTGTTAAATAATTTTTTTTCAAAATAATTTTTTTTTCACTCTGTCGAGTCACCTTTCTTTGGATTAGGGACAAATATAGATCTCTTCCAGTCAGTTGGCCAGGTGGTGTCCTCCAGATTTCTTTTTTTTATCATTTTTTATCATTTTTTAATTAATTTTAGTGAAAATTTACAGAGACTTTGGATTTCCATTCATTCATTGTTGCACTTTTCTCCCTGCCCACCTCTCTCCCCCCAGTACACTTTCTCTTTGAAAAATAAAAGTACCCCATTGTTTTACAATCCCTCCCCAACAGATCCACTCCACTATGCAGCCTTCGTTCTGGACTCTTGTCATGACAATAATACCTAATCAAATATTTCAATAGTTTTCTCCCTCATCTGTTTCAAAGCAGTATATATTATTTATCCCATCTTTCTCCATCTCTCCCCAACTCTGATGTCAGTCCTGTTTTATAACAGTGGCACTATGCCGTATTTGTCCCTTTGTGTCTGAAATATTTCACTCAGCATAATGTCCTCCAGGGTCATCCATTTTGAATAATATTGCATGAGTTCCTTGTTTTTCAATGCAGCGTAGTATTCCATTGTGTAAATATACCACAGCTTCTCTGCATTCGTTTGTTGATGGGCACTTAGGTTGTCTCCAACTCCTTGCTATTGTGAACAAAGCTGCGATAAACATGGGTGTGCATTGTCCTCCAGATTTCTTGGCACAACTTGGTGAACACATCCAAGGCAGTGTCTGTTCATTGAAATATGTCAGTTGATGTGCCATCAATTTCTGGAGCCTTGATTTTTGCCATTTTTTCAGAGCAGCTGGAACTTCTTCCTTCATCACCACAAGCTCTTGTGAAACAGGCTGTATTTTAATTCATTGAGTCAATGGTGAAGTCTCATGTGGATTTCCTCAAAGACAGAAGACCCAAAATGAACTGGTTCACATCAAACACCAAGATATGTGCAGAAATATCACTCGTAACTAAGTTCTGACCTGTTTGAGCTGACCAAGAACCTGGTATGTGATTTGGACCAGAAAGACACTGCTACAGTCCAAGTGATGTATGCATATGATGTATGTGTATCCTGTAATAAGTGCTGCCTTAATCCAGAAGCCACTGAAACAGAACACATCCTCAAAGATTAGTTATGTGTTAAATTCATTTTCATAAACTCTCCTCTGCAGTCCATTCTTTCAGACATCTCCACTTAAAATTCCATGCCATCTAAATCCCTTTAGAGATACCTAGATTACTTTGTGGTCTAAGTCACAGTCTGAATTGCCATCCTGTAGACAGTTTACCCTGTCAGATTCTGTCTCTTTAAACAAATTTCTTGCTTGTATGAAAACTCCTGGTCACTTTTGACAGTAGGCAAAAAATCCTGCAATTTTAGAAAGCAGAAAATCCTATTCTGCAGCCATAGGTTTGCAGGTAACAACAGACTATATGTAACAGACTTGTATAACCCTTGAAATTCCCTATAGCTCATTAAGTTGTAAATAACTGATAGCAATGCAAAGCAAACCTTATCTGGAAATGAGTAAATTAACTTTGTCTTTTAGAAACTCAATTGATTGTATCCCTTTCCCATGTTGTCTATTCAGTTTAACCTTTTACTAGCTATAAGTTTGTACTTAACATCTCCTTTGAAATTGTTAGATCTGCCTCATTTGTTCATGAATAATGATGCAAGTAAAATTTATTTTATATATATATGTATGTATATGTGTATATATATACACACGTGTGTGTGTGTGTGTGTATATATACATATATATGTTGTTGTTGTTAAGTGCCGTCTAGTCGTAGGCGACTCACAGCGACCCTATGAATGAAAGTCCTTGGCATTTGCGTGCGCGACTTTCATCCTTTCTCCAGGTTCATAGGGTTCCGGAGGCAAGCTATTTACGGAAGTGGATGTCACTCCTGCTTCCAAGCTTGTTTCAACAGGGGAGCACCACCAAACACTGTCCACCATGGGTAACCGTTATCACATTTTTTTATTACTTTAAAAGGGGGGGGGGAACACATAGAGTCCTGGTGGTGTATAATCTATCAGACTGCTAACCAACATGTTGGCACCACAGCTGCTCACACAAATGTCTTTCCCAGATAAGCACCAAACAAAGGAGGAGGCAGCCAGACTGCTTTAGCATAAGCAGATCTATGGCTAACATGGAGAAAAATGGGAATTCTGGAACACTTAATGGCACTCATATAAAATCTGTACTTAGACTAAGAAGCTGTTGTCTAACAGAGCAAGTGAATACTGCATTGTTTAAAATCAGGAAAGGTGTAAATCAGGGTTGTAGCCTTTCTTCATACCTATTCAACCTGTATGCTGAGCAAATAATGCATGAAGCTAGACTCTGTGAAGAAGAATATGGCATCAGTACTGGAGGAAAGCTCATCAAAAACCTATGTTATGCAGATGGCTCAACCTTTCTTGCTGAAAATGAGGGGGACCTGAAGCACTTATTGCAGAAGATCAAAGAATATAACCTTCTAGATGGATTGCAACCTAACATCAAGAAAACAAAGGTCCTTATCGGATACCAGTGGACAACATTATGATAGATGGAGAAAGGATTGAAATTGTCAATTATTTCATCTTGCTTGGATCTACAATCAATACCCTTGGTACCAGCAGTCAAAAGACAAAGAGATATATGTATTGCTTTGTTCTTGTTGTTGTCGTTAAGTGCCATTGAATCGCAGGTGATTCATAGCGACCCTATGAAGGATAGTCCTTGATGCTTGGGTGCCTTTCATCTTCTCACCAGATGTATTGCTTTACGGAAGTCCATTTTCAGGGACCTCTCCAAAATACTGAAGAGCAATGATGTCAGTCTGAAGACTAAGGTGCACTGGATTCAGACCATGGTCTATTCCATTACTTGCTATGCATCTGAAAGCTGGAAAATAAATAAGAATGACAAAAAAAAATTATGCCTTATGTTGTAGGGTTGGAAAAGAGTACTGAATATCCCACAGACCGCCAAAAGAATAAACAGGTATATCTTAGAAAAGGTATAGGTGGAATGCTTCTTGGAGGCAACAATAACAAAGTTTTTCTCACATACTTTGGACATGTTGCTAGGAGATGTTATTCCTTGGAAAAGGAAATCATGCTTGGAAGGGTGAAGGATCAGCAATAGAAAGAAACAGTCCTATGGAGATGGGTTGATACAGTGACTGCAACAATGATAACAAGTGTAGCATAGATGTGAGAACACAGGTTGGTCAGAATTCAGATCTATTGTTTATAGGGTCAATATGAATCATACTCCACTGAATGGTAACTAATAACAACAACAATAATTTTCATGTGATTGATTAAATGCTTACTGAAGTCAAGGTGCCATCAGGTTATCTATCTCTGGCCAAGGTAGGGTGTTACACGTGAGGAAAGGGTGAGACAACAACAATCTCCAGATTACATCAGTGGTTTTAAAATCATTAAGGTAGGAAGTTCCAAATGCTATCTCTTAGAATGAAAAAGGAATTAGCACAAGTTTAATTTTTTGCATGG